TGCTTTGAGCAGGGGGATTGGACTAGATGACCTCCTGAGGTCCCTTCCAACCCTGATATTCTATGATTAGGGGTATAGAACGGCTTCCGTATGAGGAGAGATTAATAAGACTGGGACTTTTCAGCTTGGAAAAGAGACAACTAGGGAGGATATGGTACAGCAGTGATTCTCAGACTAGGGCTGCTGCTTGTTCAGGGAAAGCCCCTGGCGCGCCGGGCCAGTTTGTTTATCTGCCGCGTCTGCAGGTTCAGCTGATCGTGGCTCCCACTGGCTGCGGTTTGCCACTCCAGGCCAATGGGGGCTGCGGGAAGCGGTGCAGGCTGAGGGATGTGCTAGCAATCTGTAGATAAACAGAGGATGTTAAGCCAGGTCTACTCTAGGTAAGTTTTTTGCTGGTATAGCTACACTGGCAACCTCTCCTAGTACAGATGAAGCGCAAAAGTGCTGCTACCTGCATAGTTTATAGTTCCTCACTTAAGCTATATCGGCAAAAGTACTTTTTTGCCAGTATAACTTCATCTACACCAGGGCTCAGTCAGTATAACATGTTGCCAAAAAAATCACGCTGTAGCCAACATTGCTACACTAGCAAGTTTCTTGTGCAGGCCTGGCCTTGGTTTTCTTATAATAAAAGATGGTCTAAAGTCTTGATTAGAGTATGTTTGAGGTATTTCTAAAACGAAAAGTGTTTATTTTTAAAGGGCTTTATATCACTGTGGTTTTTTGTTTTGGGTTGTTTTTTTTGTTTGGTTGTGTTGTTTACCCATCCATACTGTGGGCTTTTGATAGTAGTAATGAGACACAGAGCGCTAACTAGAATGGAGCTGAAAGTTCTGAGTAGAAAGAAGCAAATAATGTTTTGAAAAACATTAAGTCTTGGTTGTGGTGCTCTTTGCTGCTAGGCAGGAGAGCTGGGTTTCAATTACCATTCATGCACTCAGTCCCCATGCTGGCATTGGTAAGAATGTAGAATGCTGACAAGAGACTTGTATTGGCTTTAGTGACTTGCTGGCTGGCTAAAATGTAGTATGATTGGACTCGCATCCCAATCTTTACTTGGAAGTAATGTTGTTGTCCCTTGTGGCAGGAGTTAAGAGGGACATGGAAGGGAATCTCCAAGAATGCAGTACATGAGGGTGGTGGTAGAAGGAAAAGCTTGAGCATTAATCAGGATTTCCAGGTTCTTTTTGCTTTGCTTAATTAGTGGAAACGGCACCAGTTTTTCATTTTAATTAAAAGTGCCTTTTGATATTCATTGGTGATCAGGGTGCTGGAACAATTTTTATAGTGGTGGTGCTGAGAGCTATTGAACCAAACTGTAAACCCTATATATATAATGGAATCCACTTCAAGCCAGGCGGTGCAGCAGTACCTCTAGCTCCAGCTGTGTTGGTGATGATAGAAATGTAGGATTTTTTACTTGACCTACATTCTTAAAGCTGCATTTCTGTTTGTGTGTTTACCAAATGTGAAAGCTATAAAATCACCAAGGATATACAGCCATTTCATAACTCCTATGGCTTACTGGCTTTGTTCCCTGTCACTGGTTCTAGATCTAGGGAATTTTTTGCAGAGAACTATGAATGTGGGAAGAAGAAACCTACAGGATGATTTACTGTACTTTTAGTGGTTTGCTTGCTGTACCTACAAAATTAGTTATATTTGTAGCACATGCAATGTTTCCAAATGGAGACTCAGCCAGCCAGGCAGAAGGACGGTCATGCATATTGCTCCCCCCATATTTCCCCAATTGCATTAGATAAGATGTAGAAACACTGTTCTGTAAACAAATGAAAAACTCTAGTCCTGTCCAGACCTGGCACAGCCTGCAAAGGGAAACTAGATCTCTCTAGCCAATTGAATTGAACTGGAATCCTAATGTGAACACATTTAAGAGAGAGAAATAATGCTGTAATGTTGTCTTCATCTGCTCTTCCCTGTGCTGTAGCTTTGTCAGTGCATGTTTTAAGCTATTTTGGTGACCTCAGTAAAGCAGCCTCTGTTCTTTGCTGTTGGTGAAGAAATAAAAATGTTTTTACAAGTTAGAGGTGGCTGAATGTTTTACTGCTTTCTGGTTTGACGGATCAGATAGGAATGTCTGGCAGCCAAAGACCTGCTACAGATTATTTTTATATTGTCTATCACTATATAGCAGCTTTTGCATCTGCATTATCTCATGTACTTCTAAGGCACCTGTGAGCTGTTTAGCAGCATTTATTTGTTCTTAAAAAAAGGCTCAGACAAATGTTACAATGCTAACTATGAATCTGTTGTCTTTCCCTTGTTATTTCAAGTCCATTACCAATTTAACAATGGGGGTATTCTTCAATCAAGTGTGGGGACATAAAGTAACTGGGCATATCCTTGGATTGGTAATTGAAAAGTCTTCCACCTTTGTTTCCAGTTCAAATCCAGTGTGGATCAGTAGTGAAAGTTCCCATCTGTCAGTTCAGTGGCCTGCAAGGGGTTGGTGGTCTCAGCTGAGTTCCTCAGAGATAGATGCCTACATTACAAAACTCACCACCATGACTTGCGTTAGGCTTCCCTGCAGCACAGTAGGTTGTTTTGTTCTGTGGTTGAGCTCCTGCCAAATTAGTTATACTTGAACTTCTTTGGATTTTTTTTTTAAAAAACCTCACTTATACAATAAGTGCAACTCCATAAACTAAGGTAACTTTTTCCTAAGCATCAAATCCATCTGAAAGGTCACAAATGGACTATATTTTAATCAGTGCATGAATTTTACTTTCAGAGAGGGGAGAGGAAATTGCTAACCCTGTCAGAAAATATAAATCTGGTCAGAGTCTGTCTTTATGATAGCTGAGAAAGCTGTGAGGTTTTTATTAAATCTCGTCACTGAGATCTAATCACTTATAAATATCTCATGATTTCCACTTGATCAAACCCTTGATTTTAAAAGGGTGAATTTAAGTGTTTTTTTTAATTTTGAAGCCAAAAATATCATGAGGCATCTGCCCAATTACTCATTATTATTTTCCAATTCCCAGCCTTGAGTTTCTATAGACCTAATTAAGAGACTTTCCTCCCACACAGTTCAATGCACACTTTTGCTTATGTGGGTTTCAGAGAACAGCCAGAGAAACTCATTTAAATGGTTTGATTTTGGTTAACATATCTGGGAACTATTGTGGTTCAACCTCTCATAATGGTGGGTGCCCAATTAAGCTTTTAATCCACTTGTATATAAATTAATAATATTACTTGTTAAAAATACACAGTATTTAAAGTCAAAGATAATTTTCCTTGCTACTTTAAATATGTGAAAATATGCAGGGAGGCTTTAACTATCTGTGGATATGCAGAGTGGTTTAAGGGGCAAAAAAGCCTGGGGGGATAGGGAACTGTTTCTAAATTGTGGGGTGGAAGAGAAGGGAAGGAAGAGGTACTTAACATGGCCATTAACATAACTGCTAATTCTGTTAGCAATGCTAGTTATTCAGTAGTCTCTCACCGTATATTGGCACTATTTCCCCTTTTGCACCCTCCCCCAACAAGATTTTTTTAAAAAGGAAAGCCATCAAATGGCTTTAGTACATACTGAAATTGAAAGAAATTTGGAAACTTAAAAATGAAGATTAAAATGTTCATTTAAGCATAGTCTCAGATGAAGCTCGAGGACACAAAATAGTGGATTAGGGTCTCATACGGAAATCCAGTCCGAGTAGCAGAGAGGAGAAGGAAAGCAATTACAGGTCTGGGTACTGGGAAGGTGTTAAATTTAGACCTTTATAATACTTCATAGGCTGGAGCTCAATTCTGATATACGGTTACATAATAATGTACATTTAAATTCAGCCCCTTTCCAGTAAGGGTCAGATCTACTTTCTATTTAAAAACAAACAAAAAAAACCCACTCCTCAAAAGCTGCACCATTTTAAATGAGGAGAAGTAAGAGGAAATATTTGCATTACGGGGGATCAAATATTGCATGCACATTAAGATAGGAAAAATACCGGGGCAAAATAAGGTGGGCGTGTGAGCGAGTGCGCGCTCTCTTTTCATGTTTGGATTTTATCACGACCCGCCGGGCATTGTATGCGACCATTGTGAGGCTTCCATGCGAATTCCGGAAGTTTGAGACCAAAAATATCTGCGTATTACTGGGGAGAGATGACGGTGGATTATGATCTTTCACAAACGCTTGTTTTGCTCCCTCGTAAATGCAGGTCCAAACACTAAAGTGCCTCCCCCAGTCCCATGAAGCAGGCTCGAAGGACGTGTTGCAGCTCTGCGCCGTGAAAATGGCTTTTTGCCATGCCACCCTTCTCCACCAATCATCGGAGAAGAATCGGGCTTTTCGCGGGGGCAAAGTTAAAGCTACGGTGGAAAAGACCGGCGGGCGGGGGGGGGGGGGATCGTCATCCCAGCTCGCCCCCTTCCTCCCCCCAGTCACGGCGGCTCCCTGCAGTGTGTTCTCCAGGGCTGTGTGCAGCCGCCGCCGCCGCCGCCTGGTAGAAGGTCCCTTTAATAGGTAAAAGCCCGCCGCTGCACGCGGCTCGGGCTGGCTCCAGCGTCTCCGCCTCACCGTGACTCCGCAAGCCCTGGGGTCGGCCCCGCGTGCAGCCCGCCGGCTCCCGGGCCGGCTCCCGGGCTGGAGCCGACCTGCAAGGGGCCGGCGGGTGGGGACGCGCCGGCCCTGAGGCGGTTGCGGGGCCGCCCCCCGCCCGGGCCGGGCGCTTTGTGTACACAGCTGCACGGCGCGCAGGGGACCGAAAGGAAACGGTTAGAGGAAGGGCTGGCTTTGGAGGCGGCGAGGCTGTTGTCAGGGGCGGGGGGGGGGGGCGCTGGCGCGCTGCGGGCCAGATGTAGGCCGCCCCCATCCCCGCCTCCCTTGCGCCTCTTGGGCGGCACTGGCGCGGCCACGCCGGAGCCCTGGTGCGAACCGAGGAGATCTGATGAGTTAGCTGGTTGCTATGGTGAGGGGGGCCGTGTCACGTGACCAGGGTGCTGCTCCGGGCGGTTTGACGTCAGCAGGGAGGGAGGGAGGTGGGCAGGGGAGCGCGAGCGCGAGCAGGCAGCCGCTGTGGCAAAGCAGCAGAGCAGCCCCGGCGCAGCCTCTCCGCCGACCTTCCGCGCGCGAGCCAGGCAGCCAGCCGTGTGGGGGTGGGAGCGCGCGCCAATGCCGGGACCTACCCAAACGCTGTCCCCAAATGGCGAGAACAACAACGACATCCTGCAGGATAACGGCACCATCATCCCCTTCAGGAAGCACACGGTGCGCGGGGAGCGTTCCTACAGGTAACCCGCGCTGGCTTGCGGGGATCGCCCGGGTGCGGCTGCCTGCGTGATTGGGGTGGGGGCTGCTGCGGGCACTGCAGCAAAGGGACAGGCAGGGGGATTGCATAACAAAACGCCGTGCTCTCCGCGGCGTGTTAAAAATAAGCTGGGACCTATTAGCCGGGGTCCTGCCTCGCCTGCATGGAAGCCTGGCTGTTGGAAATAGCGTTTGTATTGTCCAGCTGGAAAACATTTTGTGAGTAGATTTGCTGCCTGTAGGGGCTCTCCCCCGCCCGCCCCACAGACCCCTCCTTCCTTGCGTGTTGATAAAAAATGCAAGCGAGAGAGATCTGTGGGGTCGCCCAAAGGGAGCTGGGCTGCGGCGCCGAATTTCTGGCTGTGCCGGGGTCGCTGGGCATCTGCGCGTGAAAGCTAAGGCGAAGGGATGGAGTCAAAACGGCTTGTGCCTGCCTGCCCTGGTGCGTGCAGGAAAAATGGAATCCTCCAGATTAAACTGCAGTCGATGATGATGTTAAAGCGCCAGATTGATGGAGCTTTGTAAGAATTCTGCTCCCTGATTGGTGGAAGGCTTGACAGCAGAGGTCACGGTGTCACACATTCACTAACATTTCCTCCTCGAAACCGGGGGTTTATTAGCGACCAGGTGGACTGCAGCCGTTTCTAGAAGACCCTGCGTATCCCCGTGCCTTTTCTTTGATTCTGGTGTGTGGCAGGGAACTCAGCCCTTCTTTCCAATTGGGAGGCAGTTGCGTTACATTTTTGACTGTATGGTTTGAGGATGGTGTGTTCTTTGTCACAGTTGTAAGCATTTTTGATTAATGGTTTGGCATGTGTTGTTGGCACCGTTTTACATTAACATATCTGACAATATGGTCCAGTAGATAAGCTAATTGAAATTGTTTGCCTTTTTGATAAGGATAACAATGTAGCCTTGAATTCAACTAGTTTTATGTGCTCTGAGCTGTAGACTTGAAGCGTGATAATGTGATCAGTCGTATCTCCTCTAAAGTTAAGATGCAGTTATTTTAAATGCTGCCTTGATGACAGCAAGCTGTGCCTTTTCTGAGCACACACATCTTTCAAAGCTCATATTCACAAACCAGCAACAGGAAATGATACTGTCCTTAAAACGTTAGCTAAATATTTAGATAATGTATACTATCTGATTGTACATAGAACTGGATCAAAATAAACCTGAGTGTTTTGCTAAGTTAGCCAAAGAAAATCAGAGTATTTTACTTTATTTTCTATTAGGAATAACTGGGCCCTAATAACTCAGTTATGACGATATTAACCTTGTAAGTAAATCTTGGCTGAATCCATACAGTTCCCCCAAAAGCTCATGGCTTAGCACTCAAATGAATGTGGTGAGGTGACATACTTGTGGAATCCAAGTGCTTACTCTACCATGAATGCCACACACAAATTTAGCCTGCACTTTATTAGAATCTTATTGCTTCCCAGAAGCCTTCAGGTCTCTACAGGCGTTTCCTTTATGTTGATAGAGTTCATTGGGCTTAGTTTTAAAGCAGCATTATTAAACTTCCAATAGGTTTTTCACCTTTTGTAAAGAATCATTCCTACTGGCAGGAAGACTGAAGCTCTCATTTTGTAGATTTAAATTCCTGCCATGTAGCATAGTTTTGTTTGAGAGGAAAGCTGGACTTTTACCACATGGCTAAATGGAAGCATTCTGCTGCATCTTTGCAGTTGTGCTGTATTCTGGTAACAAAATCTTTTGATAGAAGTAAGTTTAATGTTAGGCACTCCAGTTTGACTTACAAAAGATAGCACTGTCTTCAGTGTTTGTTGAAACCCCTTGGTCAATAAGATCCTCCCATTGCACTGTTGCACCAGAGAGGAATCACTGTTTACATTTAGTACTTCTGCACCTACCTACAAAATAATCAATTTCTGGCCTGACAATAATGCATGTTGGAATGATATTCACATCAACAAGACTATGCCCAAAAATAGAATTTTTGAAAAATTGCTGTAGTAAGACTACTGGAAACATTACGATGGAAATTAATGTATCAATTGAATAATACTTTACATGAAAATTGCTTACATTTAGCCTTTTACCCAGAGACTATCCAGGCCTCAAGATGTTTTAAATCCTCTTTATCAATTCACCCACCTGTGAGAATGGAATGTAGCACATTACCTGTCAACACTATCACTATACATCATTTTAGGATAGTTAAATGAATAATGCAAGCTTGAATGGCAACTTTATTTTGTGAATAAGCACTGGACTGAGATTCAGGAGATCTGGAATCTGTTCTTGGCTCTGCTAACAACTTGCCTTGTGATGTGGGACAAGTCACCTGTCTGTGTGCCAGTTTTCCTATCTATCAAATAGGGATAATACTTTCATAAAGTGTTCTGAGACCTACAGATGAAAACTGCTATATAAGTCAACACTACTTAACTGAAATTTACAGGAAATATTTAGTTAAATAGCTAAATTGGGATTTTATCATGACACGAGATCACATTCTTAATTTTGCTGAAGCTGCCATGAAATCTTTAAAGACTCAGTTGGTTTAGGGCTCTGAAGTACCCTGAGTTCTAGTAGGATGAAAGTCCTTATACACAAGTAAATTATGTTTTGTCTGAAAGGCAGCATCACACCCATTAAGATCATGCTGGACTATTAGTTCAATTGAATTTGAGATGGGGGAAATGCACCTTGTATAAACTTCTGTCCAATTTCTTGTGTAGCATTTTGCATTTTCCTTGTAGCTTTCATATTCAAATACCGACCAGAACAAACATCTCATAAAATCACACTCCAAGCTGGCGTGACTCTGATAGTTAGTTGGTTCCATCTATATTTAGAAATATGCATTAATTTTACTCTTAAAAAAATCCTAAAACATGAAGTAGAAGTCAATTGTTGGGCAAATCTTATGTAAAAAAAAACAACCAAACAAAAAACATTCTGCTCGCAATCTAGTTTGGCCAAGTTAGACTGTGTCTACTATGTTTTCATGAAAAGCAAATACTGTATCTCTCTCCTACAATGTTCAACACCATCTCAAGTTATCCTCCATAATATACCTTAGATGCTTTTATGTAAACACATCTTATTTTAAACAAAGGAAATGGTTGTTGGTCATAATAAACAAAAGTATATTTGTTAATCTAGTGAAAAATTAGTGCTTTTATAATATTTAATATTGTTAGGCATTATTTAACTCTTGTACAGTGCTTTTCATGTGTAAATCTAAATGTACTTTTCAAAGGAAGGGAGTACCCTCTCCATTTTGCAGATGCAGAAACTGAGACAAAGTGACTTGGCCGAGGTCATCCAGCATTCCAGGAGCAGAGCAAATAATAGAACCCGGGTCTCCTGAGTCCCAATATAGTGCTTTATCCACTAACCCATGTAATAGTCTTCAACATCCTTGTGAGGTAGATATCCCCATTTTACAGATATGGGAACATGTATACAGAGTGTTAAGTGGCTTGCAGTAGGTTACCTAGAGAGTCAATAGCAGAACTACTATTCAAATGCTGAAGCAGTTCCTGGCTTCCAACTCTGTGCTCAATCCATAAGATCATGTTGCATCTTACAGTAAATAATTGTAAATATTAAATTTATATTAGTTTATTAAAATTATATTTCTGGGGTGGAAAGGAAGGACAAGAGGGTGTTCGTTTGATACATCTCAGTCAGGAGGCTTGGCTGTAAATTTGGTTTGGCACTAAGGTGTAATAAATTTTGATGGCCAAGAATGGATCTTGGCTCCCACCAGAGAATAGCCCCATATTTGCTTATAATTATAATTCTCTGCCCTAGGTAAATATAAGTAAATCAGTAAAGCAGCAAATCAGGAATGACAGGGCTGGGTGGGGACATTTTTAAACAGGCACCTGGCCACAGCGCCCTATGCCACAATCTAGGCAATTCAATCAGTTCACCAGCCACACACAAATATTTAAAGTATTTTTCAAGTTTCATATTACAAATCTGAGGTAAAATTTTTAATTCACTGAAATAGTGGAGTCTTACACCCTCTTTCTTTGGATACCACTCCTAATTTTGTTTTATCCACATGCAGTTGGGAAATCAGATTTATTAATTGGCCTTTTGTCCACTAGCCATATCACTTACTTCACTACCCTAAGCTTTTAAGAATGAGTGTTTAAACTTTTTAGGACTCTTTCAGGCTTTTTGCTTGTACATACAGCTTGAGTACAGATTATATATTTTCTGACACAATATCTTTGTTTAGTTATAAATATTTGCCTACTGTTAGTGTCCTCTTCTCTCTTCTTAAGGAGAAACTGGTATTTACACTGCTGATGTATAGCTTTTCTGTGCATAATAACGAATGTGGAACAGAAGTGATGGTGTTCTCATCCACTGATTACAAAAACTATAATGTTTAACAGGATATGTCTAGAGTTTCAGTTGGTATAGGGATTTTTAGATGGTAATTTCTTTGGCCTATAGAAGATAGAGTTAAATTAACAGTAGAATGTTAACTGTTTTAGGACCCAGAAGTCTAGAATCGTCCTTCACATCTTTTGTTTCCCTTGTATTAAGTCCTGGACAGATTTTCTACTTGAGAATTTTGGACCATGAATCATTCATCCTTAAGAAAACCTGCATTATATGTCTCGAGGGTTTCTCTGTATTGTTAAACTAGTTTCATCCACTGATATTTTACTCTTTGAGTTAATCTATTCCCTCAGTATGTCTAGAGCAGTGGAATTTACTTTTTGGTACAAAATAATTGTATTCTTTACTTAAGTATTTAAGAAGGATTTATTGCATTACCTTAGTTTGGTTAGACAGAACACAAACTCCTGCCTGCCGCACTCGAGCAAATAGTTCAATTGACTTTAAATAAGACTATTCACATGGATGAAATGAGTAGAATAGGGCTCAGTCTTGTTGCAAGGAATTATGGGAGAAGATACTAAATAGACAAGTACTCTCATTTTATGGGGTTGGATAAGTAAGGCTCACAGACTGCAGTTCAGAC